ATTAGAAGGCAAATAGCAAAGACGATGGCGTTTACTGTCGTCACCAAAACTACCACCACCACCACCACCACCACCACCATCACGTCACATCCTCGCTTCGACGTGCTAGCCGACGTCGGTTAATTCGCGTGCGCGGGGCTGGTGGTAAAGGGGGAAGGTGAGAGGCAGGAACAGCTCGACCGACGAAGACGGCATGCTTCCGACCCTGACGAGATCTCGAGGTGGGTAATGGAGGTAATCAGCCAGGAGACGAGGAATGCCTGAAGGGTATGCCAAATTGCCAAATTTTACACTGGAATCCAGTGGAGCTCGACTTGCCGCTCTTTCGTCGAGTCGCGCGCCATCGGCAATTAACGCCAGCCTCGAATGTTTTTCGACACAACCAACGCGGCCTTATTATATCCCTGCCCTTATTCTCCCTCTCGCTTGAATTATCTCATCTTGGATTAATATTCCTCTGGTTGATTCAACCTTAAGACCGATAGCTCGTGGAATGCGACGACAACCGCGTACTTCCCGTGGGTTCGAGCGTCTCGAGCAACGAAAAAGCCCCAAAGCAAACGAACTGGATGAAAATCGAAATAGATTAACCGAATTGTTATATAGTTTAGCAGCACAAGAGGCTCGGAATAACCGTATAACCATATCCCGTAATTTTAAATGAGATCGGCCTCTTTATTTCGAAATAAAGACTCGTTTGCGATTGTCTGCTGCCACCTCTATCCTATTTCCGTTCAGAGAAATTTAAAGATCAGTCTACCCGGCCACCGTCCACCTCTACGTACGTGTATTTAATGAACTGGCCATGGCTTCGTGCAGGAATAAAGCATGTAGAAGTGGGGCTTTAATTCGAAGCAGAGTTAACGCTTGCCGTAAGCCGACCTCAAAGAGCGCACTTGAATTACTTTGTCGCGATACTTGTCGAGGTAAATAATCACGGCTCACCGTGGGAATTCGATTATTTTGGCAAAAACGACAGACATCCGTCGTCGCTTGGGCACACCGACGTCTGACGTATGGCCTTACGACGGTGGTTGTTATAGCTCCCGCTATTCTAATAGATCCCGTTCCAATTGTCGAATAATTTTTTAGTCGACGCTTATTATCGGCTGTATTATCATTGCTGAAATTGAGTTGATCGATTGATGTAACAAAGTTACTCTCTACCGGCCTCCTCCGCTCTCCATTGGCAATAAAATCGGCTTGACGCATTGCACGCAAGTCGCCGGAGATTATTATTTTCACGGCTGCTAATGGACGAGTCGCCGATACGCGTCGGGGCGATTCAGGAGGCGGCATCCTCACGACGGCACACACGCAGTCGACGCTAAGAGGCAATTTTCCGTGTAAGTTGATTTATGGTTCGTAGCTCGTGTCGAGGTCACGTGTTGAGTTTCCTCGCGCGGTCGACGGAAAATGCGGACAAAAGCCTTTCCCGTACGTGCCAATGAGATACTCGAGTCCTACGACCTCCATCCTCTGCCTTTAATCCGAACAAAGGAAGCATCGCCATGCGAGCCCAACTGCTTCGTTAGATGCATCTGTGATCTCATTCTTTCTTTCAACGGCAGACAGATTATCGGATTAGCTACTGGCGCTGCACGGGATTACGAGGATTTGGTCGTTGTTTTTCGTATTTCACTTCCGGATGCGGGATTTTAATCGCTCGGCTGTGCCCTTTTTCGCCACTCACCTCCAGAATTGTTTCAATGACGAGCTAAACAAAGATGATTAACAATCGAGATGCTTCGTTGAGAGCGTCACCTCTGCGATTAATCCATACAACGTAATTTATAAATATAGCCTTTGTCGACTCTACAAACGTAATTCGAATACGTTGACTGCCCGCCTCGACAGTGGGTGGCACATAGATGGTGAGCTGAATTTTTGGAACCGAGGTGTCGGAGATAACGGGGCGAATTCTATAATTGACAATGACAAGGACGCTGTATCTTTGTCGATGCACTCATAAGATCGGAAAAGTCAGTTTTTATTGATTGGTTTCGAAACTACCATGCTCATCGATATCGGAATCGGAAACAAGAATAAAAAATTAAAGAAAAGAGAGATGAACGTAGAGTGAGTGAGAGGGTTGCAGCGACGACACAAAGAGTGCAAAGGGAGAGATGCGCACGTCAGAGAAGAAAGAGCCATAGGCAGACGCGATCGCGCGCGCACACGCGAAAACATACGTCTATATACGTATGCATATGTACACACGTGATGTATGTGTAAAGGAAGGGGCAGTCTAGGGCCGAAAAGGTGTTTCATTCTTGTGGATCAATAAGCACGTGGTCTATGCAATTTGTCGCTGCGCACACAACATCAGCGACAAGGATAGGTAGCAAGCTCGCGAGAGCGAGAGAAAGCCGGCGCCGGCGTCATCGCTCGATGTAAACAAAGAAGCGTGCGCGCGCTCGAGAGGAATTTATGCGCTGTAGTCCGCGCGCGCATCGATTTTTACCTGCCACACACGGTTGGGAAGGACGTGCGCGCGGTTGTCAGAATGAGGGCGGGGGAACGGCCGGGTTGGTTGTTGAGGGTGGAGGGGTGGGGGGGTATTGTCGAGTAATGGGGGGAGCCGAGGCGAAGGTAGAAAGTTCCGACGGCACGACGCGGGTCCGCTGCATCCCCATTGCGTGCCCGCGACATTTTCCAGACCCAGAGGCGGAGCTCGGGATAACGTCCGCGGGTGCTGCCGATTACGCCAATGCGACCCTGACGTTGTTGGGCTCTACGTCGCTCCCGTGGCTTTCTAACCTATTAAATCGATTAACCAATTGGTCTCTGGCTGCGATTCAAACGTCAAATTGCGCCTCGGCGCCGATGATTCGAAAGCGGATGAAAAGCCCGAGTGGCTCGCCGGCTGCGCAATTCCCGACCAATACGAGCGTTTATTTCCATCTCGTACGGGCATATGCAATCGCGCTTTATCCTGCCAATGGGATTCGATTAAGCAACGGCAATAGTTTAGATTCATTATACGAGATTATGCGAAGTTATGGTAGTACGGGAGGAGATTTTGCGATTTCCTTACGAGAATTCGCGAGCCCTTAATGCGTCGAAAGTCTGTCTCGTACGAAATAGGAATCTATTTGGCGTCGGTCGAGTCGATATTTTCAATGTCATTGCTATATCACCAAGAGTTTGAAAAGTAATTCTTATTATATTCTAGATATTGATGATTGCGCATAAATTATTTGAAATATATTTATGATCTCTTTAGAAAATCATTATATCCGGCAAATTGACATCTCTGCATTATTAAAAAAGAAATTTATTTTTTCTGAATTTTGCGCACAGTCGCGTGCCGAATGTGTGTTCGTTACGAACGAACGACGAAACTTAGTTAACTTGAAAAATGCTATTTTACATGTTGGGCAAGTGTATTCTTAAAAAATGACCGCTTTAATGCATCTTGCCTAAAATTCACTAAAATTTTGATAAATCGATCATTTATTTACACATATAATTACGTATATGGCATTGTGGCCTGTCTTCCTTGCTTTCATATTTTCCATGAAATGTATTACTTTATTTTTTTTCTAGCGATATGTGTCAGGCAATAAACGCACATCCGATTCACCCAGTTTGTTTTTTATTTCGCTTTGTGCGATTCAACGTCGAAACCTTCGAAACGTCGCTTCGTTTATGTAGATATGCATAATTCTTATAACTACGTATCATTGAAACTTTCATGCATTGTTTTACGTATAATTAAAACTTCTCTTTTTATATATGAATGAAGCTCGCGAGCAAGTTAAAGGTAAAAATTAAAACACAAATAGAATAGAATTCTTTAGCACCAACTTTAACAAGTAACGCGCAATTATACCACTTGCAGGCAAAAAGTAATATATATATATATATATATATATATATATATATATATATATATATATATATATAATGTATATAAAAAATTTAAATTATATATATATATATATATATATATATATATATACGGTATATTAACGACTTAAATGGAAACGTAATTATAATAACCAACTTACGTGGAATGGAGTTACAATCTATGCACTAGCAATTTATTTCCTACTATTTGTATAAATATTTTAATAAAAAATTCCGGAAAAACATCTATTAGCTTTCGCATGATCGATTTTACAAACTTAAAATGCAATGTTCATATTGTAAAAACAAATAACTCGTGTAATTGTTTTTTGTTAGTGCCTAATACTTACTACTACCACCATAACTTTACGGACATTCCTATTAATACTTTTATGATCAACGCGAGATCTAGAGTAATTGGATAAGTGTAATTGAATACTCGCTTAAAACGGAAATATTCGTAATTTTTATTATTATCTTGTACTTGGCACAATAATGAATATTACGTATTCGCGTTTGTTATTATAGTAAATATACGATTATTGTTAATTTTATGCCAATTCCCGGCTGTTATGTGTACCATAGGAATTTATTCGTGTGACAAGAATGGTGGGAAGTAAAAAAGGTAGGACAAGAAATTTCAATTTTGAAAAAAGGAAAAATAAAACAAAGAAGTATAGCAGTGCCACTGTGTTTACAATTTAGTTGTTAAAAAATCGTTCGATGGCGTTACTATCGTCCCACCAAGCATTCGACTAAACTCTGAAAAAAGAGATTAGCAATTATGGCGACATATGTAATTTGTAGCCATTTTTGTTCAATGCTTTTACATACAACGATACTCCTCCATTAATATTTGAAGCCTTATCTACAGCTCCTGTAGAATGTCATAAATGAAAACTTGACAAAAGATATGCAAGAACAAGCATTAACCGTGGCGTTCTTAACCTAAAATATTTAAAAACACCGAGCTATGATAATAGCAGCGTAGATATATGGATATAATTGTTTTTTCGTGCTTAATAATGGGCAAAATTGAACCGCAAAAGCAGTTGAAAAAGGCGCACGTAGACTAGTTAGATTACTTTGTAAATGAAGCTTTTTTAAAATGACATATTTTTCATAATCTTCTCAATTCGATTTTGCAGAAACCTATGACCATTTACAAGTGCACCTGGCGCGACGAAGGTAACCGAAGTGTCAGATGCGGTGAAGTGGGTAACACCTGGGAGGTCGTTGCAGAACACGTACTTCGAACACATTTAAAGTAAGTATAATATCGCTAGCTTTCGCCGTTTATCCAAATATATAACAATCCTTGTAGTATGTTTATCTGAAACAAAATTGACAATTGTGAAATTTGACAGAGTAAAATCCACCTTTCTTTTATTTAACATTATCTTTCCATTTTACTTCATTGTGTATGTATATTAGCTCGGCTATAATAATGCCAATGACACAACAAAGAATAGATTGCTTCAATAGCTTTGGTGTAACAAGTATAAAAGATTTGCAAGTCGTTGAATAGAAGTCGCTATAAATTAGTTATTTCGATGAGTCGTGACCTGTCATTGATAACACTAATAATATTCTCATTGCAAAATTGCAGTGGAAAGAAGACGCATGAAAACGAAGAAGACTTTTACATCGTGGACGAACAGCTCGAGCCTGCTTGCTCGCCACCTACCAAATCACACTGGGACATGGTCAGGCCTAGAAGCGAAGACCCTGAATATCAGAAACAACTTCGTCTCGCTGCTTCACCTGCGCAAAACAACTCTCAAATCGCTGCTACTGTTAACACACAGGACATTATTATACGCGATGTCTTCGCCATGGCTTCACCAGTACGTTGACACTTTCTCATCCCTGGATATTTAATAATTGCGGAGCAGTGGATATTATTCGATTAGACAAACAATACCGAGACAAAGAGGCAATTGCCTTTAAGAGCGGGCATTTACATTTCACTTGTTTTCAATTATTACAAAAAAAAAAAAAAAGAAACAAAAAAAAAGAAACAAAAAAAAGAAACAAAAAAATGAATAAAAGAATCAATAAAAAAGAGAGAATAAAAAATGAAAGAAAGAATGAAAGAAAAAATTATCTATTAAAAAAGGTAAATCATTTATTACAAAGTATTCTGTTATATAATCACAAACTTGCATGAACATATAATTGCCTTGGTAAACAAACACTGATAACAACTGATGAAACGTGAATTTTGTCCATTCTTTGTTCGCAAACATAAGTAACTCTCTCGTATAAGCTTGCCATTGGACTAAGGCATTCCAAAGCATTTAGCATCGAGCTCTTTTTTCATAACGATAAAAGTCGAATTCGAATAATTGGACAATCTCTAGACTCGCTGTGATATACTTAGCTGTTAGGCAAGCATTACCAGTTGTCAAATCGTTTAACTAATGTACTTTTTTATTTTTTCTTTCTCTCCCTCTCTCTATCCAAAAGCAGAGCACGCCAAGCAAGCAGTTCAAGCCATCGCCGAGGCCGCTCCAGGCCTACAATGCACCCAACATAAGCGTGGTGACGGTCTCCCTGGGGAAGATGCCCCACTCACCGCGTCGCGTGCGCGGCGAGACGAAGAAGTGCCGGAAGGTCTACGGCATGGAGCACAAAGACCTCTGGTGCACGCAGTGCAAGTGGAAGAAAGCCTGTACGCGTTTCAGCGACTAGGTCGGGGCGCGCGGACAATCGCTCGCCGACGTCCGACAATTACGACTCACCGATTACGATGCAGTGATGCAACAAAGCGACACGCGGACGAGCCACGTCACAAGTCGCGAGATCGCCGATCGCTAACTGCCGACCTGATACCGCCTCGATTAATCAATGCACAAATTTTAATTACTCATTATTAATATTATTATTTGATTGGAGAAGCGAGGGTAATTTATATCGATCACGTCGATGCGCCGCGTATGTATCCGCTTGGAGATTATACGTGCGCGCGCGCGCGCGTACGTTCCTCTCTAAACGTTGAACGATTCATCTGTAATATTCTCTGCCGCGCGTCTGTGTATGCGCAAGATTAATGCGAGATGCATTTCGTGAATGTATACGCGGGCGCGTCTCCGAAGTGGCGCTGGAACAATCTTGAGAACGACAACAATGAGCGCATACGCTTATGGAGAAGATGCACGAACCTGGGGATGCGCTCGCAAGCCGCGCGTCATATTATCGTTTGCGTATGTCCGGAGGCTCGAAAACACTGCGCTCGCGAAGAGACGCGCGCCACCCACCTACCCACAAACACACCCACGCAAAACACACCCGCAAGCAACGCACGCATGTTAGCACGCAATCACGCAAGCAACGCACGCAGGACGGGCGGAAACCAACACGAACAAACGAGGGAGGAAAGCAGGCAACCACACATGCGCATACGAGGCTTACACTCGTGCACTCGGCGGGAGTGAGCATACGCAGGACGAAGGAGTGAAGCGCGCAGGCGAACGCGCCACGGTAGTTGTACACGCATAGAGTTATGCACGCACGCGCGTCAATCCCATGACGGAATGGCGTACCGTTGATGCAGTGGTGACAATTAAGAATGGAACGGAAGATATAAGTAGCGATGAACGAGAGGAGGACGTAACTCGAGGGACAGCGATTTAACACGAGCGATCGCGTGAACGCGCGAGGCTCACGAGTGGTGCCGGTGCTCTCTCTCTCTCTCTCTCTCTCTCTCTCTCTCTCTCTCTCTCTCTCTCAACCAACCAATGGCCTACCAGCCTCGTGCGTCTGCGTTCTGTCAATGTCGTGCGTCTTAATTAATCACAAATTTCGCAAGATTAAAATAAAATATTATAGGTAGATCAAACGTTTAAAAAGAGAACGCGTACCGCGTTTTGCAATTGGAATTAGGTTGGGTTGGGTTGGGAAGGGGGCGGAATGGGCCGGGCACATGATTGAAGAAGGCAACGGCGCGATGGCGACGACGGTACTACGAGGACGACGACGACGACGACGACGACGACGACGACGACGACGACGACGACGACGACGATGGCGGCGGCGTAGGTGAAGGAAGAACAGGAGAATATCAAGCCCCTTTTGACGCTACTTGGCCTCCGATAGCTTCGACTGTAGCAGGCCAATGGCGCCCATTTAACGAAATAAATAAAGCGAGGGAAATAATACGTGAAAATGAAAAATGAAAAAAATATAAAGCAAATTGTGATATTTTATGTAATAAATCAGACCCCCTCGGGCCAACGGTAAATTGCAATACGGGCTATATATGTACATTGAAGGGATGACAAGGGGATCTGGATATTGCGGGAGGGTGGACGGTAGGGAGGGCTCGTGGAACAGAGGGATGAGTTGGTCGAATGAAAGAGGACTTGGTGGTGAGCGGTGGGAGAAGGAGACGACAAGGAGCGGAGATTAGAGCTGAGACGCGGCATACGAATCAAATTTCTAATGGGCAAAATTCTTTACAACTGACACCAACGCATACTGCCAGCGTGAAAGAAAAAAAAAATAATTAAATGAATATAATAATGTTTATCGAAATGACGTTATTCGGGAGAAATCGAGGTTCATGCGTACGCGTTTCTTACGCATCCGTCTTATACATTGCGTATAACGAAACGATTAAAGAGTATTGTGAACTAATAAAACACTATATACCTACACATACATAATTATGTAAACGTAGCCGGGCCTTGGTATCTATCGATGATGCATAACATAAAATACATTGCGCGTGTGCTTTTGTCAGTGCCAGAGTCAGTTGGGGAGACTGTTTCCACCATGAAATAGTCGTACCCCCATTCGACTCGAATCGATCGTTCGACCTGTGATCGTAATATGCATAATTGTTTCTTCAGCTCTTTCGCTTCCTCCCCCTCCCTTTTTGCGTTCGGTTAAACGCGCCAGTAACAGCATAATATCACGAAGGTACTTTCTCTCGACAAGAAAATCCTCAACGATTACGTGGACATTGTGGAACATGTGTGTTTTCGAACGAGATTGTAGACGCTTTCGCGTATTATGACGTCGATCGGGCCTTTTTTTAAAAAAATATCACGCTTTGTAATTTAATTGTTCGTGCTATTTTATATTGGACTTTTTTTTTTGTTTTTGTTTTTTGTTTTGTTCAACGCAAACACGTGTCTTTGACGAGAGAAATTAAGCGAGTCCAAAAATTTCCCTGACCTTTTTCTTCTCTCCCCATTTCCCTTCTGTTCTTTTCGTTTCTTTTCTATCGTTGTTAGAAAAGATTTCATATTTATCGAAATTTCGACAAAAAATTACTCACGCCAGAAATTACTAAGTTCTCTTCCTTCCTGTACATAAAATTCTTTTAAACTTCGAAGTAAAATATATATCTATCGATTTTTATGCTCCTTAAAATTAATTATAATTTAGTCTTATTTCTGCTGACAATTATCAAATATTGTTATTGAGTGCGATATTCGAGTATTTTCTCTGTTAATATTTTCATATTTTTGTACATACATTGAAAATTATACATAGAATCTAAAAGAATAGAGGCTCCAAGATTGTAGATAATACTTCGATGTAATACTTGTATTTAATAAAAGTTTTGCAATATCGTAATAAGATGATTCGAATTATAAATAAGCCACTTAATTGAAGGGGAGAAAATTATGAATTAGCGTTAAGTTGGAGCAACCGGAAAGCAAATTTTGAAAAATGCAAATGTAATGACGCGACTGATTCGTCCGATCGATTCGATGTATTTATTCGTAAGCATGCATTTTGAAGATCATGCCTTTAATCATGAAAAAGTCGAGTCTCTTCCGAGACATGTAAACTTATTAACGAATGCCAAAATTATGCGAAGGCAAAAATTGTGTCGATGAAGAAATTCATTCATAAACATAAAATTGTCGGTGATACCTTGCTGGCCTGGATATATCATACCAAATCGATCTCATATAATGTAATAAATACAATTTTTAAAATGCAATTTTTAAAACGTATGGTCGACCCAACTGCCCTCGAGTCGATCAAGGGACATTCACTGCCCGATTCTCACGAAATCATATTACCGAGAAAGTGTTCGAGAATAAGCAATGTTACTTGCATGTTTTTACATTTATACGCAAACTTTTTAATTCGATTTAATCAATGTCTATGAAAAAATTATTTGAAAAATTATATTCTTATATATGTATATATGTGTATATATATATATATATGTGTGTGTGTGTGTGTGTGTGTGTGTGTGTGTGTGTGTATATATATGCATGCGCGCGCGCACACGCGCACACACATACGCAAACAAACACAAACGTAAATACAAAAAATTAATTAAACCGTTGATGTAAAATAAATACATATTAAAAAAAAAAATTCATTTACTTTATTCATTTTATTGTTAATGATGTAATTATGATTTTTACGAGGGGCAAATTGAGTTTCGGAAGATTTTCGTTTTGTGGTATTATTCTTCCAACATACTTGAGACTTGACCGAGCGTTCGTTTCGGTCGACCATACGATGCAAACATTATTATTATTATTATTATTATTATTATTATTATTATTATTATTATATAATCGGAAACATCGTATCTTGATTGTATTATTATTATATTATTAAAATGATTAATATTATTATTGTCATTATATTATTAATGAATTGTAAGCATTTTATTGCACGTTAGTTTGTTATGGATATTTTAAGCGTTAATTATGGTGTTAGTAGGTATTGTTTCACATATTTATATAAGATGATAGAAGATAAAATATATGTTCGATTATAAAAAGTATGACGAATTGAAGTCATAAATAATTGCATTCGAAGTAATTAGGGGATTATACTTTGTATATCGATTAGGTTTAAAGATGTTTGATTCATAATCGTTAAAGATATTCACTCGATGAATTACTTGCAGTTAGTGCAATAAATTATAAATTTATGTAGGTAAATTTATGCCATCGAATATTTAATTTAAGACTATTAACTTTTCACTTTTCTGAAAAGATTGTCAACTACACACACCCACCCACCCACCCACCCACCCACACCCACACCCACACACACACACACACACACACACACACACACACACACACACACATATATATATATATATATATATATCACTACAATCTATCTGTAGAATTTATTAATTAGTTTCGATTTTAACATATCAGGTGACAGAGTTTTTCTAAAATCTAAATATTTACTACGGTACTTTACACATGTACTTTTCAATTGTGGCATTAAAATAATTATTGTCCAATTAAAGCAGTCGTGTGGTTAATGCTGTAGTAAAAGAATTAAAAAATTTTTAACCAGTTATCCAATTGTAAAAAAGATGGCAAATCTAAAAAATTTTATTATCCAATAGCATAATTTCTTTAATAACTGAATAAACTAGCGTAAATAGGGCGTTTGTGTTGCTGTATTTTGTATTCAAATTAATGATTAATTAATTGTGAACCGCAACAATTAAATGATATTCGTGCTATAAGTTAAAAGAATTTGAACTTATTATTTATTATGAAAAAACGCTCTTGATAATAATATTTGATAATAATTTAACATTTTAGACCAATCATTATTATCTCGTTTAATCAATTTAATGATTATTATGGGATTTTGTATTTATATAGTTTTTGTATAACATTAATGAGAATTCAAATTGAGAAAAATATGGGAGTTACTAATTTATCTTTGAATAAAGTATATAATAATTATACAATGTTAACTAATATATAAATACTATTTATTTTATTTAAACATTTAAAAAATGTAGATGTTTAATTCTATTTAAATTAATCATTAATTATATCGATGTTTATTTTAAATTTCATTTTAAATAATGATTTGCCAAATTGTTAAAATTAGTTTTGATGGAGAATGGTTAAATTGTGCGTTAGTGATTATTCGAATGCATTAACAATTAAATAAAGTATGTTATGTAAGACAGGTCATTATATGCATTTAACCATAAAT